GCTGCGGTAGCGACTATCGGAGCCAGCAAGTGATGGTGAGGAGGCCCGGCGCCGGCGGTGGCCGCCGCGGCTGCATGTGCAGCGGCAGCGGCCGCCGTCGGCAAGGGGTACGGCGCGTAGCGATAGGTGGTGGGGGTGGGTGTCGCGACCATCACCAACTCACCGTATGCGCCTCTGCTGGCCGCTCGCGTCTTCGCCAGATTCGCTGGAAGCATCACTTCCTTTGGCTGTGCCTTCTTGCATTCGACCTTGAAATTTTAGATAGAGCAGATAAAAGAAAGAGGGTACGAGTAAGAAAGTACATGTCCGGTCGGACATTTCACTCTATCAATCATCTATTAGAACTGTCGAAGTCTTGATTGTGCATCGTTGTAGCAGCCCATACAGCACTAATCACTTCAGCAATATTGCGGCAACATTATTACAATGCAGCAACAATACAAGCTTCTATGCTGTATGGGAGATAACGTGTGAATCCTTTCTCGACAAGAAGTTTAAAGAGAAATGAAAAACACTATTATTATCATTTGTTGCTTATACTATTTCTGTTAATCATTAAGTAGATAAAAGTACTAATCGACTAAAATTGATTTTTGCTCCAAATTTCGTAAAGAAATAACTAACTATGGAGAATATCAACTGGATCAGCGCAGCGAGCTTTCTTCGGGATTATCGATACGAGGTGGCATCAAGAAAATACTTGACCGTCGTGGAAGAGCTTTTCGTTGTAGCGGAAAGTAAACAAAGACTTCTCTTACTAGAGGAACTGTGTACAGTTCTTTCCTTTTTCGTTTACGATTTCTCCTGCATGTACATTCCACATGCGTGTCAAATATAACTAACAAAGATAGACCTTTTCGATTATACGGAAAATTAATTTTGTTCAACATTACAGACAGCGAACAGAAGGCAAATACCTTTTGATGCGACCTCTCTGAGGTTATATAAAGTAAAGGGAGAATATCCTTTAGAAGAGGGGATTTGTTCTACAAGTAGACTTCAGACTGGCTACTCACCATTTTGTTGTTAATTTCGTGGAAATGGATCTCGCAGACTTTGTCGACGACATCCTCGCTTTGAAACGTGACAAATCCAAAGCCTGAAAGAAAATACATAGACTCTTGTTAAATTTTTATATTTAATATGATAAAATGAAATGGCAAACAATAGCTGTAGCAATATACATATGATACATATTTGATATTATTTTACTTTCGAATTTAATTTTATAATTTCTCACATTTTCCAATATTACAGTTTTAATAAAACAAATTGCAAGGATTTTTAATTATATTTGTTGTTCATATAAAAAAATAGATCGTACGCTATCGAATTAGATGATAAAACAATAAAGTCGGGGATTATGTTGTTTACTGTAAGTATAATGATATTTGACGTTTAATCAAATTAATCCACATTAATAATAATCAAAAAAGAAAAAAAAAGGAGTCTACGTAATTTTGAATTAGAGTAACCGGTAGTAGTAGAGATGCGAAAGCTCTCCGATTTTGCTGCATATTCGCGGGGATAAGAAACCATCCCGGATTTCCATTAATTTAGCTGACGGAGTAAACGAGTCTCGCTTCTTCCCTCGTACCGCACGAAAACGCGGTCTGTAAGCGAAATCTCCGCGAAATTTATTTCAGCCAAAGACGAACAGCGGGGAAGGAGAGACAGCGAGCCAGTGAAGAGAGCCGTAACTTAATCAAGCATCAAGGGTTATTAAAAACTTTGCATTGCTCTCCGGGCGATTTTAATCTCGCCCTTTCCACGCGCCCGCGCCGGCGCTTCTCTCCTAGCTAGTAATTCAGCCTCGAGATATCCGGCAAGCGCGAGTTATACGAATCCAGCGCGCGATGTTGCAGCTTAAGATAACCACGATTTAGTGCTTCCGTAGCGAAGCAGTTGCCGAAGCTGCGTTAGGTGACCGTAATTAAATGCATCCGGTGGTCAACCGGTAGGAATGTAAACTGGCCATTCGCGATTCTAGTCGGCTCTGAGGAAGTTAGCGTATAGTTACGGTCAAAGACTGCAAAGATTGTTCATTTTTATGTAACTTATCTCTTCTAATATTGTCGAAATTGACATCGATGAATAAGAGATTTAGACGTTTAGTGATATATCATGACTCTCTCTCTCTCTCTCTCTCTCTCTCTCTCTCTCTCATATGTTTAAAAAATAGTGAGTCTAATATTATAAGAAGCAATGGTGAATTCCATCATTCGTACATGGCACTGAATTACATGTTAAAGGCTGCTTTATAATAAAGTATCTAAATGCAGTGGTACAATGTAATCAATTTTAACAATGAAATAATATAACACATATTCTGTTAAACGTGATTGTTAATGAATATTTGTTTAAAATATTTATATGCGTTTACATTTAACTTTGCTAATTTTAACAGCTCTTAAGATACATACTGCATATTTAGTTTTAATGCACGTTTTAATGCAATTGATCGAATTCGCTGTAGGAAATAGTAAGCTTAGCAGAAAAACGGAAGAGCTGAAAAATAATAAGTTTGTTCGCGTTGCATTCGTACTTTTTGCATTCAAGATCTTCGCTTTCTCTTTTTTCAAAATGTATACTTATCGTCTGAATATACATTTATCTCGTTTCAAGTGCAATAATTTTTGAGGATATTAAATTAGCAAACATATTTTATACATTATTTCCAACAAAATGACAAAGATTATCCAGAAAATTAGAATATTCAAATTTATTTAAGGTAAGAATTTAATTAGAACGTGCAATCGATCGAGGAAATAATGTTTACGATAGATATCGTACGCTTAATTGCGAAATAAAACGATCAGGCCGGAGTCGTTACTTTGGGAAGAAAACTTGCCAACGTTGAGACAATATGTGCGTGACACATTCAATTATTCAACGCTGACATCATTAATCGTTCGGCTTGTTCTCTGCCGGATTCTTTCTCTCTTACATCTTCTACGCTATCCGTCTACGGCATACCCACTCTCATCTCAACCGTTTCGTTCCGTCTCGTATCCTCTCATCCACCTAAGCTCCTCCTCTTGCTACGGGTATAGCACGAGTGATTAAGTTATAAACTTGGCAAGACGTCCGTTTGAGCGCGGAAGGGGCTTACTTCATTTATGTAATTTATAGTACTCTGCCAGTCTAGCTAACTCCACGGAGCCCAAGCACTCCCCTAACACAAAGGCCATGTCCTGACACCGGTAACATTTAACTACCCTACCTTGCCCCCCCCCTCCTCTCATTACTTTGACGATTCTCTTCCCGTGAGCGTAGCGCAGCGACGACTACCGTTGACATTCCTCGATAGCGTTCGTATTTTCAACCGAGTTGCGTATTAAATAATCTCCCTTTAGAGATGCGCGCATCTTAAAACTTTGCAAAAAATATAAAAATTTCATAGATTGTTCATTATTACGTCTAAAAATCTGTATAAAATCCGTCCAATATTACGTCTGAATATGTATGTAAAATTTGAACACAATTCTCTTATTGGTTTAAACGTTATTTAATTTTTTTGTCAGTCTTTATTCTTATGTAAAATTAAGTTTCGTAATACTTATTTACAAATTTAATGAGGAAATTAACATTAAGATTTAAACAAAATTTTAAATATATACTGACCAAACAATAATAAATATTCGTGCAAAAGTTTATTTGGATTCACTTATTCGCTTAAAAGTTATTTACTTAAAACTGTAGGAAAAGGCAGTCACATATTTTTTGTTTTTTTTTTTGCAATTTCAGGGCATATCTATGAGTTAATATCAACATTGTTTGAATGATATTAGCTAATATTTTGGCTAATTGTTTAGTTATATTTTTAGCTAATATTGTATAGCCAAACATCCTTAAGAAAAATGACATTTATTATGAAGAAAATAATATTGCTTTTGATATTATATGTTCCTCAATAAACAAACTCCAAAATATCTTTAATAAGATAAAGTCTTGTACCGTGTCTTTTTAATCGTCTCGGAGGTAGAAAACTATCTTCAAGACTATCTTCAAGCTCCCTTTATAGCGTCGAGAACGACGAGGAATGACCGGAACATAGAATGAATGTGCTAGCATAGTCAGCGATCCGCGGAAGACCCAATAAATTGTGAGTGGTGAGACGTTCCTCTCTCGACCGAATTTTCATAAGGAAATTTATCTATCGTGGTTGGGCGACCATAGTCACCCTGCAAAGCTCCATTTTAGTGCCGCAGCCAACGTACAAAGGGACGTAACCGTTTTCGTCGATCGGCCGGCCTCGCAGAGTTGAATGAGGCGAGGAAAAAATGCGTGCTCAGCTGACCGACCTTTCATCGCCAGATGTGCCCATTTTAATAAAAAAAGCATCTCGAGATATATCTTTCATTCTGTACTCGTGGTCCATCCTTTTGCCCTCCAAGAGCTCTTTAAATGACCTATAAGTCCTTTAACGGTGTGGAATTACCGTCGCCGTTTCTTCGTCGCGAAATTATGGCATATCCTTCTTACGAGAATGCAAATCGGAATATTTTATGGTTTTATAAAAGTCGTGAAGTTATAGTGAGAAAAATCATTTACGGTCCGATTACGAAGAGAATGGTCACTTAAATTTATTATGTTGGATCCAAATAAAAAGTTGGTGAATTTCTCATTATAGATAGTATTATAGATAGAATGATATCAAATTATTATTTAATTTATTGTAATTAATAATAATTACAGCATTTTTTATATTGATAGCTGATGTAGATAACACATATATATATACTATTATTTAAACTTCGTAAAACAAAGTTAATTATAGAAAAAAGATATTTAATCTTAATTCATCAGTCAAGGGTCTAGGAGACGTGTACCATTTCATAAATTATAGGAACATGTTTCTTTTAAACAGTTACTGTATGTAATTAATAAAATTCAACTTTGGATGGTACGTTTCTATTCTATATTGTTCAAAATTGTTATAGAAAACAATTATTGACGAATTAATAACATTTCTACCGAAATTATCCATTAAAATGTCCAACAAGGTTTCACAGACCCTGAGTGGCATCGGCATGAGCAAAAAAAGAGTTTGGTGAGCTAGGATTAACGAATTGAGATTATCATTTAAAGAGCTTACATCAGCACAAAGATATTTATTTATCGTATTACACAATAGATATGTACAATGAAACGGGATGAAACGGGAGCATCAATAGGAAATATCATACGGAAACAAGATTTTTCTCATGTAATTCTATTCCGTCTTGCAGAAAGAAATTGAAGGCGCGAGAAGGAGAGAACAACAGTTCTCTGCTCTCACTGCCGTCTTCCTTCTACTTGCCGGCATAACACTCTTCTTTACCCCTTCGCCGCCGCCCCCTTCGACTCCTTGTTTCTTCCTATACTGCTTGTTCTCCCTCTGATTCTCGAGTATAATGCGACCCCGCCATTGTGCCGAACGAGCGCGTGTTAACGTTTAAAAGCCGCGCGGCGGCTGGCGAACGTGTTTCAGAATTTTATCGTGCATTGAGAATAAAGGTAAAAGGTTTCTTTCAAAAGGCACGCCGGCGGAACGATTTAAAACTTGTAAATGGATACGAGGAGTTAGACCTCCGCGCTCTTTCCATCTTCCCTTGGCCATACCCTTTCCACCTTCGCCCTCGTCTGCACATAAAACTTCCGCGAACTTTTGTTTGTTTCCCGCGATGTATTTACGACGCGGAATCTCGGTGATCGATACCAAAAGAGCTCGCGGGCAACGTAGCGACTATTTTATTTTTAATGTCGTTGGACTTTGATGGCTCGTTTTATGAAGAGTGCCGATAACGATAATAGTTATTTTACTGGCATGGGTCGCTTCATGTAGAGATTTAACACACTGCTATAGTGTCGGAATTGCGATTAATTCTTTTGGCGATTTTATTTTTCCTAATCATAAGCTAAATGATTAATATTACTGCTTTCGTTATATTATTGTAACATCGTCCAGTTGAGAGAAATTTAATAAGGCGAGCATTCTTGATAAAAATAGTATGTAAATTTAATAGTAGAAGTAGTTATCCTTCACATTAGAATCTAGTATGTAACGTCAGAGTCGTACAGTTCTTATCGATCATATAATAGTATTCTTCGCAAATA